GGGATGATGTGTTTCTGATTCCTGGTGCTAACCAAAGACGGTGGTGGGGAGGGGTGGTGGGGGTGATGTGTAGCTGTAAAGAGAAAGGTTGAAAGGGGAGAGAATATTATGTGTCACCACACTGAGGAATGAGGCGCTCGTCAATTTTTGGGCATGTGCAGTTATTAGTATCGTCTCAAAGCTTGTTCATTTGTCTTGTTTTTTTCAACGAAGAGAAATTTCCATCTATCTTGAATAGAAATTGAGATATTTGTGATTGAAGCAGGTGAGGCTGTCTGATTTATATCAAGGTTAAAATAAGTAAGAAAATGGCTGCCAAAGTTTGGTAACTTCATTAGCTTGAGAGTTCTTGAAAACTGAAAAATACATATTTTGTGCCTTTCCTCAACATTTTAAAAGGACATGAAAGATTTTGAGCCAAAAAACAAGAATTTGATCAAAATTGTCAAAATGGAGGAAAAATGCCTGTTTCTTCGATTTTATTATTTTGACGAGCACCTGATTTCACAGAGATGCCTCACGTATAGTATATATCGTGTGTACGGTGCGGTTCATCAAACTCAGACTGCTGCACTGTTGAGTCCTTTAATGTGGATATTCTCTCTTAGAATTTGGATGTCGTCCCTTCCGACAGTCCAATCTTTGTGACATTCTTGCTGTGGTGAGCGAGGCGTTCTACTGTCCCCGTCGTTTTAGGCAAGAACAATTCTGAACTTATGCAAACTGAGCCCAAAAATGTGAAATTATGCGATTCTGTTAATTTTGACAAAGAATGATAAGGGAAAATAATCGGAAATTATGCAAAATATGATCAAATTTGGCTAAATTATGCGGGGTGCATAAAACCACGGGGATAGATTCTATAGAGATGACAGTAAGTAAGTAAGTAAGGAAGTTTATTCAGTGTTTAAGGCCATTGGCCCACATCACATCACATAAAACACTCATTTGAATCAATTTGATAAATAAAGTTTCCATAAATGAATATATAATAGAGATGAGAGAAAGGGCTACTGTAAGAAAGCGAAACAAAGGATTGAAGTTGAAGAGTGAGCGTTTGGAGTTCTGGGAGAAACTCTAGTTCACAGACTTGCCT